TCTGTTTCGTTTTGTTCTTTTTGGTTTAAACCTCTAAAACCTAAGTGGGTTCATGGACTTAACTGCTGACTATTTCCCCCTTGGAGTATTCTTTGCTAAGTTTCATGCCACTATGCTCTCCTGGTATTTTCTTTACATTTTAGACTCTTCTTTGCAGGATTTTCATTGTTAGCCTATTATTTAAATGTTAGTGTTCCTTAAGGGTTCTACCCTAGACTTTGAACCCTTCTCATTCCACAGATTTCCTTGGGAGTCCTTGTTTACTCCCATAACTTTCAGTATTATCCATATGACATGAACTCTACATGTGACAACACTAAATTATGCACGTCCAGTTCAAACCCCTTCCAAGTGCCAAATGTAGAAATAAAGCTCCCTCTTGTCATCACCATAAGGCTGTCTGAAAGCACCCACACTGAAAATACCAAAACTGAACTACCGTCTTTCTCTTTCTCATTGACTGCCACATCATCCATGAAGTTCCTTACCAAGAAACCCAGGAGTAATTTTTGAGTCCTTCCTTCTTATTCCTTAACAACCAATCTCAAAATTCCATTGATTTTTATATCATAAGAATGTGTATTAAGAAACCACTCACTCTCCACGCTTTCTGCTACAACCCAATCCAGATCTCCATCATCTCTTGCCAAGATTATTGTAAATAATTTCTTCTAATTGGTTTCCCTGGTGTCAATCTTGTCTGCCCAAACTATTTTAAACTCTGTAGCTAGTTTACCCATTAAAAATGTGAATATGATCATATTACTCTTTTGTTTAAAATTCTTAACTGGTTTCCTAAATAAAACCAAACTCACTGTTGAGTTGATTCTGATTCATAGTGACCCTATAGGACAGAACAGAACTGTCCCATAGGGTTTGCAATGCTGTAAATCTTTACAGAAGGAGACTGCCACATCTTTCTCCCAAGGAGTGGTTGGTGGGTTTGAACTGCTGATCTTTAGATTAGCAGCTGAGCACTTTAACAACTGTTCCACCAGAGCTCCTTGGTTTCCTAAATACTGAAAGTCAAATCTAAACTCCTTTATGAGGTTCCTTAGATTTCTGCTTACCTTACAAACTCCTATATTGCTTCTTCCCCCTCTCTCAGATGTTATACTTCATTTTATCCTTTTCCTTCTTTAACTTTAAACAGGAACTAAAAGACTCTTTCAGTTCCTAAAATATGAAAGTTATGCTATCTTTTACCTTAGGCTTCCCTGTGACTTTTCTTCTTCCTAAACCTTTTCTGGGATCTCTGGTAGCATAGTGCCTAAGGCACTTGACTGCTAACCAGAAGGCTGGAGGTTCAAACCCACCAGCCACTCCTCAGAAGCAAGATGGGGCAATCTACTTCCACAGTGATACTGCCTTGGCAACCCAAGGAAGGGTTGCTATGAGTCGGGTCCGACTTGACGGCACTTAACAACAACAACAAATCTTTTCTAGGAGCTCTGGTAGTGTAGTGCCTAAGGCACTTGACTGCTAACCAGAAGGCTGGCGGTTCAAACCCACCAGCCACTCCTCGGAAGGAAGGTTGGGCAATCTACTTCTGTAGTGATACCACCTCGGAAACCCAAGGAGGGGTCGCTATGGGTCAGGGCTGACTCAACAGCACATAACAACAACAAATCTTTTCTTTTCTTCATCTAAAGCTTCCTAGCGAAATCCTGTTATCATTTATATTGGTTTCCTTTGGGAGGCCCTCTTGGATTGTCACCTCATCCAAGCTGACTCTACCCACCTTTAATTCCACTCACGCCCAACTTACTCTTACCCCCAACAAACAGGGACAAGTGTTCTTGCTATATGTTCCCATAGTAACTTATATATCCTGTCTAATATCATTTTAAAAACACTTTATTATAAATACTCATGTAATAGTCTAGGTTCTGTCTAGAGGGCAAGAAGGTGTCCAGTATACTTAGCTTGATTTTGTAGCTCTAGCACCTAGCAGAGTGCTGTCTTAGTTATCCAGTGCTGCTATAACGGAAATACAATAAATGAGTGGCTTTACCAAAAACAAATTCATTTTCTAACAGTTGAGGAGGCTGTTGTTGTTGCTGCCAGGTGCCAATGAGTCAGTTCCAATTCATAGCGACCCTACGCACGAAAGAATGAAACACTGTCCGGTCTTGTGCCATCCTCACAATCGTTGCTGTGACTGAGCCCTTCATTGCAGCCACTGGGTCAGTCCTTGTCGTTGAGGGCCCTCCCTCCAGTCAGGGGCTGGCCCTAGGGGGAGGCTTTCTCTGTCTGTTAGCTCTGGAGGAAAGTCCTTTCTCTTCAAGCTTTTGGTCCTGGGCCATCTTCTTGTGCCTTGGCACCTCCCTTTCTGCTTCTCTGCTTACTGGCTTGCTTGTTTTCATCTCTTTTTTTAAGGCAAAAGTGGTTGACTCAAAACACATCCTACACTAATCTTACCTCATTAACATAACAAAGACCATCCATTCTCAAACGGGATTATAACCACAGGTTTAGAGGTTAGGGACTACAACACATATTTTGGAGGGACACAATTCAAACTATAACAAATGCCTTGCACAGAATTGGTGCTCAATAAATGTTTGTTTCAATGAATAAGTGGAGCACCTTTTATTTACAGAAGACTGAGAAGGGCTTAGAGATAAACAAAACACTCCCTACCCTTAAGGATGGTAACCTTAAATGCAGAATGACTGGTACACATAATTATAAAATGATAATGAGTAGATAAAATTGACTCCAATTTGGAGACATGGGGATTTGCTAACATTGTAAATTGGAATGAAATATTTAGCTCTCTCTTCTGGGATCATCTAACCCACACTAAACACTTGTGGAAGACAGTTTTACGATTTTATATTACAGATGAGACAATTGTTGCTGTTGTTATTTGCTGTCAAGTCGGCCCCGACTCATAGCGACCCCTCCTTGGGTTTCCGAGGCAGTATCACTACGGAAGAAGGATTGCCCAACCTTCCTTCCAAGGAGTGGCTGGTGGGTTTGAACCACCAGCCTTCTGGTTAGCAGTCAAGTGCCTTAGGCACTATGTTACAAAAAGTTAACTGAGTTGCCCAAGGTTACCCAATGAATTAGAAGCAGAGCCAAGACTTAAAAAATTCAAAGTTGTCAACCTCCAAACCTCAGCGGTATTATTTATTTATTGTTGGCAAATGACTTTGTCTTTTGCCCCAAAGTTCTACTGTGTGACTGTCAGATTCCCACCTATATGTTTTAATCATCTTTTCCAAGCTATCATTTCTCTAAAGTATTTATATTTGAATATGATATAGGCACTTTTCTATGTATTTTCCTGTAGTCTCTATAAGTAAAGGCTTTCTGTCATATGACTCTGCATTGGACGCTTCTCTTATGCTTAATTCATCATCAACTATTGTACTCTAAGAAGTGTAAACTCCTGCTTTGTTTGTAGTAGACTACTAGTATCAGAAACTTGTTGTTATTACAAAGTGCCAACATTTAATTCTTCTGCTATAGGACATCATATTGGATACTCTGCATCTATAAATGTCCATAGCTAGTTGGCTGGCACATTCTATTGCTTTGGATGGGCATTTTGGTAGAAAATGCTGCCAATATTTAATAGGCATTTGAGAAGCAACATAGGCTATTAAATTTAATGGGATAACTGGTTCCAACATTTATATTGAGAGAAAAATAAACCCAAAAAGACTTGAGGTCGATTTCAAAAGGCTAGATAAGTACTCAATAAATATGTTTATATATGGTATTCTGGGGCCAATGACAAACATAACAGATAACCAAAATGCCTAAAAAAGCCTTTATTACCTTCTTGATATACACACTTAATGCACATAGCTCTTTGCTTTGTGTAAGAATATGCATTGCATAATTAATTTCTCAGAGTTAGTCTTTGCCTGCCTTAGACTGGAACAACCAAGGCTCTTTCTTTTTATGCAGAAATATGGCTCAAAATGTTACAAGAATTTAATCAGCACAGACCTGTGGCTAACAAGTCCTTGTTTTTGTTTTATTAGGTATATAAAAATATATGCATTCTCAGTATTTTTTTTTTCTTTTAATGAAACATCATGAAAAAGTATCCCCAATCATAGAATATTCCTCTTGCTCTTTGGGCTTCACTTGATCCATCCTTCATTTGCAACATTTTTATGAAAAGCAAACATCTTTACCATGATGGCATTTAAGCCATCTCATTATGTCATTCTCTAGTCCTGCCTTGCAGCTCCAGACCTATAAGAACTCTAAATGCCCAAAGTATTTACTGCTCTTAATCCCCAATGTGACATTAAGTGAATTGTTTCTGTCATGTGAGTATAACTGATTATGTTTCCCCTAATAAAGATAGACACTAGACTTATCCTTTTGTAAAACAGCTCAATGTAAAAGGAGAGAAAACTTCAGTCAGACGCCAAATTAACATCAAGTGCTTGGACTACGGAAATGTCAATTAAAATTCTAGTGGAATCTTTCAAACACAATTTTCCAGTTTAAGAAATGTGTATAAACCCATGGTGAATTGAAAGGCTATACAAAGTAAGGCTTACATTCCATGTATGTACTCACATTCTTGGTGGGTCACTGACAGACAACATTCGTGGTATCAGGATAAATCTGATTTTCACTGAAAAGATAAATTCCTTGAATTCACCCTCATCCATCACTCCTGTTTTTTGGGAAATGACCTTGAGAGGACATTCCTTTCATTTCCTAATGCTGCAGTAACTCTTAAGCTAAACCAAGTAGTTCTTAGTAAGCTACGCCAAGGAATAGAAAGGTTCCTTTCAAAATAGCACACAGGCTGAACTGACTTCCTGCTCTAGGGATTCTGCAAATGCTCTCACAGACCATGAAAGACAGAAAAATTCCAAGTTGAGCTTTAAAGTTCTGACGTTGTAATTTTTACCCTATTTGCCATATGGTTTGAATGTGATAATAATAAAATAAAGAATAACAAACTAAAAACACAAATGTTTTTAATCCTAAAGATATGTGCCCTATTTGAGAATTTACTTTACCTGCAGAGATTCCATTTCTTCATCTTTTCTGTGGTTCTCATCCAGCAGATCTACAAGAAAGAAAATATCCATCAAAGTACAATGTAAAAATGGGTTGTCGCTTACTATCAAACCCAATTCAGTCAGTAGCTTGGAGAAATCTGCCTGGAAGGTGAATTTTATGTTTAAGTGAGAGAAGCTATGCAAAATAAATGCTCACTGATCCTAACTGATGAGATGTGGCAGGGCTCTGGACCTTGGTAAACCAAAGCTAGCTGAGAAGCCCTGGGAGGTCCCAGCTTTGCTTGAGAAACCAAAGAATGAACCCAACTCAATTACAAATCCAAAACCATACCAATGTTTTAGGAATTTGGTCCAAAGATTATATAAATCAAAGTAACACAAAATTGTCTTTAATATTTTTTTTAAGTAAAAATTAGCAATAAACCATTTGCTCTTAAACTCCCCAAGCCAAGTTCCACCCCTAGAGTCAATTTTTATAACCAAATTAAAACACTCTGGAATAATGAGTGTTGTTAATAGAAAGAGAATATCACCTTAACTGCAAAGTTATATTATTATTTCTCACTGAGAGGGTGGGAACCACTGAAGCTACCTCTGACCAAGAATTTGGCACCATCTCAGAGAAATGAGTGGCCGGAAGGGAAGGTAGTCACCTGAAGAGAGTTCTATATTAATGCATGTGTACACCCTTGGTGTCTCAGTGCCCTACATTAATTTATGAACTTGCTACAGAGCAAAATATATTTGGCAAGCAGAATTTTCGGCCTGAAGCTATACCACCCTGTGCTATGATCTTATTGGATCTTACCAACCTAAAGAGGGTTGGGTTGAGTCAGAATATGGACGAAAAGTGACAAGAAACACCTACAGCAGCACACGTTAATATTAGTGTTTGCTTTACTTTGTGAATGACATAGCTTACCAAGATGCTATGCTGTAAGAAAGGAAAATTTACAGAAATTTACTATCTATCCCCAAAAGGCAAATGCAAATGCAAATGCTGTTAACAAGTGTTCCACTAGATACAGCAGGAGGTGGTGACACAGTGGGTGGCCATGTCATGCTGGTATATGTCATAACTGGGCAGACAATACAATGACACTTCACGAGAATGGGCACACGATACAATTGTCTGCTGATGACTCTTTGAAACTGCATGGTTAAGAGGGCTACAGAGCACTGGCAAGCAATTCCCTTAAGTCACAATTTGCTACGTTTAAGAATAAGAGGAGCTCTCATATCCTATAGAGGGTATGGTTTTGAAAGGGTTTTTGTTGGCATATCACGTTCTTAGAAGGTACAGAAACCAAGGTGTGGACATTAGTTTAGGTATCCCCAGTTATTCCTCTTCTTGTATCCTTACTCCTTTGCAATGTGACTTTGCAGCTACTTCCATCAAGAAGTCATGCCTTCTTTCCCACTTCCTGCATCTGGGCTGGCCTCCTTACTCAATTTGACAAATAAAATACAACAGAAGCAATGTTATGACTGAGTTAAGACATCAAATGCCTTGTACACTTTTATTTTCCCCTTTGGAAGCACTGTGTGAACAAGCTCAGACTAGCCCACTAGATGACAAGAAACATATGCTTGGCCCAGGACAGGTACTCACTACCCTGCAAGTTACCACATCTGGCAATTAGCAAATCCATAGAAATAGAACTACCCAGCTGCCCTGAAGACGACTGCAGATGTATGGTGAACCTAACTGTGACTAGACACATTTTCTAGCTCCAGTACAAACTGTAACTCACGAAATCATGAGGCAAATCAATGAAATTTTGGGATGGTTTGGTACCCAGCAGTTGCTAACTGATATAACTATTTAGAGATCCAAGTACATCATTAGAAGGAAGCAGAGGTAACTCAGACACAATGGAAAGAAGATCCAGATTCTGAAGAGCTAGAGCAAATCTGGGTGGGAGCATGAACTAACGGGCATTTTATTCCGGGTGCTCCAGTCTGGGTAGCACTCCACTCAAAAGGAAATAGCTAACAAGCCCAGCTTAGATCTCTTGCCTACTATTTGGCTAGAGGAAAGTATTGGGGCATTTTCATTGATAATTCCAAAAGAACTGGACCCAAAACAGAAAGAAGTTTCCAGATTCAAAACCAGGTTACTGTTAACAGAAGAAGGAGGGATGGATACCAGAAAGCCAAAACAACAGACATCTACCCCACCTGGTGTTAGTAAATTGTGCTTTCAATCCAACTTTCCTCAATTTTGGGGATATATAAGAGTCTACTGTGTCCTTATGTGTGTGATCTCACAGTAGTAGTAGTGGCCATTCTGCTCCCCTAATTCTGGGTATAAATAAGTTCTAATAGTTATATATGATAGATGATACAGTTATAGCCCCTTGTAATGGATCACACTGTTTAATAGTGCAGTAAAGCTGGAGGAAAGGAACGGGGGGTCCATCAACCATAAAAGGAAACAGTATCATACCTCTAGAATCTTGGTAGACTCTAGGTAAAACCTAGAGTAAAATTTCCTATGTTATGTGCATTGGATTGCTTATTTATCCAAATTAAGTCCACTCATCTGATAAAATGTAGGTGTAAAAATATCAGTCTGTCCTCAGAATTTCATAGTAGAATGACTGCAATTTAAACATCACACTCTCGGTTTGTTCCAGATGCATAAAGATAATGAGTCACGTTGCTGGGCCAGCAAAGCTGACACCAATGACAATGTTTGATTTGGGATAGGTAGATAAAAACAACTATAAAAGAACTCTTAAAATTGGCATTAAAATACAGTAATTCTCCTCTGTTCTCCCTCGTCAATGCTCTGCTCAGCCTTTATCAAGAGCATATATAAGTAGACGATTGGTTTTGTTTTTGTTTGTTTTTGGACTGTGTACATCCCTTCTCTCTGAGAAATTCCTGTTCCCCCTCTCCAGGTGATTTCTGGGATACTTTCAGTCAAAAAGTCTAACTTCTCAGGTCACAAAAGTGGGTCTTGACCTAGGCTGGCAAGTCAGAGTACCTTACTCCTTGAGCTTAGAGCTGAGCTAAACAGTACCAGCAGGAATCCTTTTTGGGGGACTAATATGGATACCAGGAGATAATCAATTTCCTTACAAGACTACAAGCTTATCTTAGCCTGCTGTTTTGAAGGCTGTATTTTCTACTATACAGGCAGTCCCCAGGTTATGAATGTCTAATTTACCTACAACCTATAGTTACGAACCAACCCCTGTAAAGCTCATTATATTAAAAATTTGACTTATGTACTATGGTTCCCAATAAAAAATGGGTGCTACTTTGTGACATGCATCAAAACATTATTATCACTACTGTATCATTATGCTAAAGATATCTTAGTGTATCTGGAAGTGCTTCTTCAATGGCTTTCATACATAGAAAGGTAAACCATATACTGTATAGTAAGACAAACATTAGACTAACTGAGATTAGGTACAAACTGAACTGCAGTGTAGTAAATTACTTTGTGTGGCTTTTCTACCCATAAGTCTTTGTAAACTCCAAGGTGGGATTTTCTATGAGCAAGTGAGGAGCTCCTGATTACTGAAGGTGTCCACCTGGAGTATTTCTGCTGGGAGAGGCACAAAACAATGTTCTGGGAGGTGCTCACTCTCTCTCAGGTGCTTAGAGTTCTGATGCTATAATTGGCTAGTTTGACCACCCTGCGGGCTCTAAAGGAGACCTCCTAGAGGCAGAACTCTGACTGCTGGTTGAGGAAGACGTGCTGCTGAAAGAGACACGCACCCCTGAAAGAGACACACGTTGCTGGGAAAGAGACGCAAGAGACACGCATTGCTGAGTGAGACACTAAGGGACCAGTGCTGCTAGGAAAGAGACTGTGAGAGACTGTTGGCCGAGGGATGGTGGGCTGGGAGAGAGACTGAGCATTTTTCTTGAACTCAAATTGTAGCCTAGTGCTTCCCTAATAAACCTCATAATCTGAGTTCTGTGTGGCCACTGCAGCGAATTATCGAACCCAAGAGAGAGGTAGTGGGTGCTTTGGGAGGAACGGTTGGAGAAAGGGCTAGAGGGAGGCAGCATGTCTGGCCTAGCAGGAATAGGCCTTGGGTTACAGCTGGTAATCCTGTCTTCCTCTTGTGGGGTTCTAGGAGGTCAGAATATGAGGCCTCCTTGCCATTTTTGGATGAACTTAACAACTCTCTCAACTTACGACCAAATTTGACTTAAGGACAGATCTAGGAATGGAACTCATTCATAATCCAGGGACTGCCTGTAAAAAGGAATCTGCCTTAGAACAAAGCTGGCAAAAAATAAAGCAGAACTAAGGGACAGAAAGATTTGTCTGAGGACTACATCCATCCTTGCCTGAAGTCCACACAATTCCTGGTTCCAAGAGAATCCCCTCCCTTTTTTTTTTTTTGCTTTTGCATAGATTAACTTTAGTTAGATTTCTGTCATTTCAAAAAGTTTCCAGGGACATGGCTACATTGAACCTTCTCATCACTATTTAGAAACTTGGAGAACCTGGAGTTGGAAAGAATTTTTTAGTCTCCACTATAATATTTCATCCTGTAATAAACAGATGAAGACACAAGAATAAAGAAATAAATAAAAAGAAGATGAAGAATGATTTGCCTGTGATTCCCTAGTTAGTGCTAAGCCACAGCTAGAGATTAATGCACCTATCTCCCTGCCCTGTCTGCACATCATGCTCTCACTCGTACCACTTAGTACTTAATTGTGGGGAAAAAAGGCACACACGTTTGCATTCTTCTAACTTACTTTGGTAGTTTTCTGATGTCAACAACCAGAGATGTGATATCTTATATCCATATTCTCTCTGACTATCACTTAACTTAGGTCCCCCAATCGCCTTACCTGTTTCTATCACTGCTCTATGCCACTGCTTTGTTTTGTTAGGTGCTCTGTTCAAGCACATGCATTTGGAATAATGAACAGTTACTAACTTGTGCTGACAAAATACAGCTACTTGGCTTCACTAAAAAGCAACCACTGTACTAACAACAGACAAGATGAGAGAATGCAGGTGAGACCCCTGGAAAGCAGAAGTGATACAATGTTGTGGCAACGGAGT